TTCTAACCTAAATAATAATAATAGGAACCAAAAGGACAGGCTTTAAAAGAAAAGGAGGGGCATATTGCCCTGAGAAGCTGGCAGGCACCCAGAGATCAGGTGCAAACACATTTGGGCATCAGACGATACTAACTATATGGCAGAAGCTACCTCGCTGTTTAAACCCAAGGAGCCTCAATACAGGCCCTGGTCACTCAGGTGCGACTGGTTGCTGTTAGCTGTTATTTGCCAGGGGTGGTGAAGTTTCCCACAGGCAACAGGAGACCAACACTACTACAAGATGAAGGTAGAGGGGATGGAGAGGATGTTTCTGGAGGCAGTGCTACCAGGCAGAACCAAAATCACCATGGGCTAGTCATTGCTGGCAGGACCTGAGGTCATGGAGAAGAGGCAGCTGCCACTAGAGAGGCTTTCAATCTCCTACAGGTTCAAGGGAGCCTGGAAAGGTGCATCCTGTGGGGGGTCAGCCCACACAGTACAGGAGAGAGCAGGAAGGATCTCAAGGGCAAAAACCCTGGATAGTTCCAGCTTTCTCCCTGCAGCAGCTCTATGCCAGCACTCAAACATGAAGGCACAAACACATTGCCTGGGCATTTGATTAAATGCAGGTTCTAATGTATGAAACATGGAGTGGAGTGTAGCTTCAAAGCTATCTTTCCTCCCAGCTCACAAACTTATCATGGACCACACTTTCAACAGGCCAGACTTAAATGATCTGAGTTAAGGATGGGCTATGATGTAGGGAATCCAGCCACATTATTCCCAAGAACAGGACTACAGAGTCATGTGTGAGGCTTTCAAATAGGGGAAAGGTGCAGTAGAAAACAGAGGAGACTGAGGTCCATGCCGTAGGACTGGTTCTCACCCAGTCTTCACATTTGTATAGATGAAGATGATAGTAGATAAATTGTGTGGCCCCAATGTTCATGTCTGAGGCTGTAGGTTCTAGATCCTCAGGATATGACTGTGTCTACAAACAGAACTTTAATTAAGTTGAAATTAATTAGCTGAGGTTATTAAGTTAAAGTAAAGCCATTGGGGTAGGTCTTAACCCAGTGTGACTGTTGTCCTCATGAGATAAGTTGACTAGGACACACAGAGTATGTCCAAGGACAGAGGCACCAAAGGGAAGGTCATGTGAGGACACAGCAGGGGTGGCTGTCTGTGTGCCAAGGAGAAAAGGCCAGCCCCAGCAGATATCAATCTTGGAGTTCTAGATTCTAGGGCTGTGAGGGGAAAAAATAAATAAATCTGATGTTGAAACCATCCAGACTGTGGAGTTTAGTTGTGGCACTCTTAGTAGATTAATACAGTGGGCTTTGCTTTTGTTTCTTAATTCTAACTGAATCCCATAAGCCTTCACTGCATGCTGCTCTGTGAGAAGCAGAGCCTTGAGAGCTGGCTTACAGAATGACATATAGATATAGTCCTAACCAGCTCCAGCTTTTTACTGCCCATGTGTCAGTCAGCACAGAGAGACAGAGATAGAAGCAGGGAGTCACTACCTAATTCAGACAATAGAGAACACTGTGGAGATCACTGTATCACATTAAAACCAAATGCTGCAAAGCACAGACACAAACAAAATCCATCCTAACTAACAGCGTGGGCAGAGGACTTCAAATGGATTCTTACAGGGGACTAAGGAAGGGAAGCATCCCTTATGATGGGGCAACCGCAGTAGAGACTAGGAGACACCATGAAACCTAGCTCTCTGTTGTACACTTAGGACCATCCAGTAGGGTGGGTAGATATGTCAGGGGAAGTAGGGCAGACCCACAATAGGACAGATGAAACTGAACAGAAGTTCCAAGCTTTTCAGAGTAAAGCAAGGTAGTCTGCAGTTTAGAAAAATGAAGACTAATAAAACTGAAAAGGCCACGGACGTAGTGGTGCACCCCTGTAGTCCCAGCTACTTGGGGGGCTGAGACAGGAGAATCACTTGAGTTCAGGTGTTCTGGGCTGTAGTGCACTGTGCTGATCGGTGTCCACACTAAATTCGGCATCAATATGGTGACCTCCTGAGAGAGGGGGGCCACCAGATTGCCTAAGGAGGGGTGAACTGGCCTAGGCAGGGGACAGAGGTGGTCAAAAAAGCAAGAGCAAGAAAGGGAATACAGAATGCAGTCACAGAACGGCCCCATACTACCTAAGATGTGCCTAAAACAGTGGTTCTCAACCTGTGGGTCACAACCCCCACAGGAGTCAGATCAGATAGCCTGCATTTCACAGATTTACATTATAGTTCAAAACAGTAGCAAAATTACAGCTATGAAGTAGCAACTAAGTAATTTTATGGTTGGGGGTCACCACAATATGGGGAACCTCAATAAAGGGATAACAGCATTGGAAGATTGAGAAAAGACAAACACACATTCTATAATCAATTACTTCAAAGTAAATGTGAACATGTCATCATCTCTCAGCTTTCTACCTTGGACACAGGGAATCAGCCTGCATCAACCACCATCTCAAAGCTGGAAAAGTGTTACAACCCAGAAAGAAAAAGGGAACTGAAGCCTGAGATGTAATCTCTGAGTTAACAGACCAAACCTTAGGCTCCAGCCACTGTGCCACTGTGGTCATGATGCTGCCAGCTCTGCTTTAAAAACAAAAGTCAGCAGCTTTGCAGCTTTGATTAGAGCATACATATATCTAGGGGATGGTCATTGTCCTTCTGATGCCAGGCAATCACACCTCGGACTTCATTATTCCCAAACAAGGGAAGTCACAGGCTGGATACTAAAGAAGGGGACAAAGCTATCCCTTGCTTCTGAACTAATGCTAATGTCCGTATGAGAGGGCAGAGCCCTGTGTCCCTGAAGCTGCTCCCATGATGTCTATTGAAGTCACATATCTGGAGCAGTAAGGGAAGCATGTAGCACTATAGGCAGGATGACTTTATGCACAAGTGATCAACCTATGAAACACACCGTAGAAATGTAGGAGAGGATTATAGAAACCACATAGTTACATGTACATACCTGAGAAATAGCAACCAACTCCTATGTAAGATTTTTAAGATAAGCATTGAGTAATACTCTCTATGGAAGCCCGCAGGCAGTGTCTTCCAAAAGGAGATAGAGTCCTTAAAGCAACCAGTGAGGCCAGAGGACGAGTGCAGACCTAAAGTACAAACAAGAAGGGGAGGACAGGAAAGTGCCCCTGCCTTTCTCATAACCTTTAATAACACACATGCCTCTCATCTGAAAGCCATGAAAAATAAAGATAATTAGATGAACATAAAATGGGATGAGAATCAGGAGGTTTGGCTTCAAAGCCCAGAATAACTTCAGGTGGGGGAGGGGTTATTATGAAGCATTTCAAAGGTTTCACTGTTGTGATTTTTCAGAATGGTCAAAAAATCCAGCATTAAACTAGTTATAGTCTAGGGGTGTCACTCTGAGTTAATCTTGCTCATACAAGGCCCTAACACATTCCCCAGTACCAACATACATCTCCCTCCCTCCCCCCCCTCTCAGTACAGGGGGGAGATACCAGATAGCACGAGATGGTGTTTAAGTTTTACAACACATTGCTGTTGGACTTCTTGTCCTACCAGATACCATTTCCGCTAATAACTTCCAAAGTGTTTACTTTTATTTGTATTCTTTAAATGCAGCACACCTTAACTCTGCATCTTTTCAGACTTTCTGAGGAAAGTTACCCTGTGTCATGGCAGGTCATTAGAGGCTGCTACCACACCACTCAGAGGGGTTGCAACCTTCAGGAACATATATATGTACCTCCTGGTAGTGCTTACCCTAACATGACTATTCTGAGATGTGAATGGAGCCTCTTCTCGGCTTCATGCACCACTGTCTCTGGACAAAGGCAGGCTGCAGTGTAGCTCAATGGTAGGGCATTTGCCTCACATGTCTAAAATTCAGGGTTGATTCCAGAGCACTACCAAAATAAATAAGTGAATACACAAATTCTGAACAAAGGAAACACTGCAGAAGTGTGGTTCCTCAAAATAACATGTCTTTCTCCTTAGAAATAGGAGATCTGAGAGCCAAGCCATCACCTAACACTGTCATCTGGGCTCCTGAAAAGAAAGGCCCCAGGACTATCAACCCATCTCCACCTACATCAAAGCTGAGCACCGCCTCTAGCTCAGGGCACCTTCATAACCCTGGAGTGCGGCACAGAATATTGCTGACCATGGCTCTGTGACCCTGTTGTCAGATGAGGATTCAGTGGCTAATTCAGGCCTTCACATCTGCCCCCACAAACCATTGACCAAGCATGTCATTTCACATACAACTTCATGCACTGCTGACACAGTTAGATGAGGCCAGCCAACATTACATGGAGCTTCCTTTTTATCCCTAGGGCACTTCATGAGACTTCACAAGCAACTGGATGCCATCAAAGCACAAAGTTGGAACTCAACTCTAAACCTGGTACAATGTGGGTCTTTTACTAATCAAGTGAGCCAAAATAAAAACAAGGAAACTCTGAATTTGCAACACAGAGCATGAAAAATGGAGGTCAAAATGCATTCCTTCATAGTGAGTGTTGGCAGAAATACATACAACCACCATCTAGCCACAGAGACGTGAAGAAAATGTACGGGAAATCAGTGGTTTAGAAGTTCCTGTAATCTAATCATGCTACACAAGTGTATTCTATAATGTTGTCATAAAAACCAATTTTGTTCTTAATGTATTGCTTTCATGTTGACCATAACAAAATTAGAAACACAAAGTGTACCCTTCATTAATAGGTTTTTAAATGTACTGAGCCCAAAATGGAGAAACTCCAACATATAAAAGCATATGTGTGGAATATCATGGTAACCTGTACATGTTACAATTCTCAGCTGTGATGTGTGCTAGCCATCACCCATGACCTGAGAAACTAAGCACAGGTTCATAGGCCACAGTTCCCAGTCAGCTTCATTGATCCCAGCACATAACAGCCATATTTCAGATGAGAGAGAAAGCTACCTCCTTAAGCCAGTACAGTAAGATTAAGACGCTTTTCACAGCCCTTACTTTCAAAATATTTTGGGTTTCATTCCACTTGTTTGTCCATTCCTTGGTCAATTCTTGGACCTAGAAACAAAAATAAATAAATATATAATGATTTTATTAAAAATAAACATAATTTGTATCTAAACAAGTTTCTAAATGTATAGACCCTACAGAAAGATGAACTCTGCTTTTTCGCTCTCTCTCTCTCTCTCTCTCTCTCTCTCTCTCTCTCTCTCTCTCTCTCTCTCTCTCTCTCTCTCTCTCTCTGTCTGTGTGTGTGTGTGTGTGCACATATAATATATACATTTTAAATAGCTAACACTACTACTTGAAAGAACAGCTACCAAATATAAACCAAACAGCTGGCTTCATCACCAACCTACAGCACAGCAAAGGAAAGAGACACCAATGTGTCAAGTTATAACTTTATGACCTCTTTTCCATGGTGGAAAAGAGAAGCTGTTTCTTGGGATTGTTAACCACTTACAACCCCAAGGATGACATAGCACATCAAGTGTGTTTGCTTTTCCTGGCCATACTTAAGGTAATAGCCATTTACTTTCCTTTCTAATTGGACGTGGTGATTAGATCACGTCGGATGCTGCAGTTTTCTTTTAGGAGATAATGCTTTTGTAGCTAACTAATGGGGTTTATAAATCTCATTCTACCTCTGGGGAAAGATGCTTCTTTATTCGATTCTTTCAGACACAGCAAAATTCTATTGATAAAAATCAGTTTATTTTCAATGGACTGTAACTTAGGGAAAAGGGCTAACTGTTGAGTACACATAGGTGGTGAGTACGTCTCAAAGCTAATCAAGTTTTCATCTAGTTCCAGGAATGTTTTAAGATGATCCTCAATGTTTAACTCACTAAGAAGCAAAAGAGTGATTGCTGAATCAAAAGGCCAGGGAAAAATGGAATGAAAAAAACTGGTCTAAGAAGGGGACAGCTAACCTCTCAGGGTTCGCTGTTTCTATCACCTGACTGCCTCCCAATTTCCACAGCAGAAAAAAAAAATCCCTAAGCCTCCTGTTCTCCTCACCCAGAACCCCCATCATGCAAGGCACCTGCTGTACCTCCTCCAAAGGAAAAGGCACACTACATGTGCCTTGAAGCACAGAAATCATGACTAAATAAAGTGTGGTGATCACCAACCCAGGGGGAAAGCAAATCTACCTGACTTAACTGTCAGTGGTTATTCACTTACTGAAGTTATCCCCAGATAACCATGCAGTTCCATGTAAATGTTTTTTCTTTAACTAGTTATGTCTGTTGAAGTCAGTCTTCTTTGTGAACAAAGCAAACAGGAGTGAAGTGACATGCCCATCACTTTATGCCTGCCTCCATGCTTTGATAAGGCTGTGGTAACAGTCATAAACCACTCATACCCAAGAACCCTTCAAAGGAGACAGCCATGAGCCACATGGCCACTGAAATGCTTTGTTCTAAAAATAAAATCTTTCAGAAGGGATATTTTCGTGTCTTTTCTCTCTGCAGAGGTGGAAAAGGGTAGCATATTGAATTTTCTAATTTATACTACCCAGTGAGTAGACTTTCATTGGCAACTTATCTGAGAACAGAAAACATTCAGCAAATGAATGTGCCTTACACTACCATATATGTCCTTATTGTAGAAAGGCCAGCCAGTCAACAGCACAGAGACCCACAACTGGACAATGTGAAGAGAGAGATTTTTAAACACTAAGTCATAAGTGGGATATCTTCATCAAATTCCTCCCCTCAGGGGTCAGGAACAGTTAGAAAAGGAGGTGTTATGATTTTCAGAACCATAGGGGATGGAGGGCACCAAGGAAACAGTGTCTTCCAGATAAAACAGGACTGATGTACATATGAACTCATAGAGACCATGGCAGCATGCACAGGGCCTTGGGATCCCAGAGCTGAGAGGGGAAGTAGACATGTGATCCTATTCATAGCCAAGAAGCTACCTGTAATTGACACCTACTTACAAAAGAAAATTTAATATTCTCTGATGGAGTCTCACTGGGCATATTAATCATATTTAAGGGCAGACCCCATAGCCAGTAGTAAATGGCCAACACAAAACAAATGCAATGGTACCTTTTTAGACTTTTTATCTCTTACTGCTTTGTTTAGGCATTTTTGTCTTATTTGTCATTTGTTTATACATTATGGTTTCTTATTTTATATTGCTATGGAGGTGTGTGTGTGTGTGTGTGTGTGTGTGTGTGTGTGTGTGTGTTAGTTTCTTCGTCTTTTTGTTTGCGCTGTCTGTTTTGTTTTGTTTTGTGCCTATTTGTTTTCTAAAGAGAGAAAGGATGTAGAATAGAGTAAGTAGGAAATAACTGAGGATCTGGGAGGAGAAAGTGTGATTGGCATATCTTGCATGAAAATACTTTTTCAATAAAGAGTAATAATAATCCACCCTTTGAAATATGATCAAATAGTCTGAGCTTTCAAAGAGTTCTAAGTACTCCTTGGGTTTATCGTTATGTTTAAATCAAACAATCTTCATTAAAAACATTAAGAAATCCAAGCATGCTTTCCATCTGACAGTGTGACTGAAGAGTAAAACAGGTGGCAAGCAATTAAGAAGGTCAGTAAAAACGAGGTGGCAAAACTTAGAGCATGTTACGGATAGGGCGGGCAGTCATCTCCTTCTCAGCGTGAAGAGTGCAGTCTAGTTACTACGGTTATTGCTTTCTGCTAACGTGCTGAGTATTCTAAAACCTATAAATGATAAACAACCATACCCACACATTCTACTGCACTTGGGATTTGAAGCAGTAAAATACAAAATTTCATGAGAAAAATGAGGATTAAGAAATGATGTCTTACTGACACTATTATCGGTTATTAGCCAACACAATTACTCTAGCAATTATGAACAAGTTCATAACTACAACTCAACTTGATTCTTCCACAGTATGAGTCTTGAGTGTTTACCATCAGACCATTTGTTTTCCTCTAGGGCTCTTTTAATCATTCAGCACCAGAAAAAATGAGGAAGGACTTCTAAATCGCTCTTATTGTCTGTTTTTCTTTTCCCAGAGGGCATTAAAAGAAAAAATAAATTTAACATGATACAGCTAGGTTGCTTGTTTTTAAAAATGCTAACCTCCATGTCAGCCCTCTGTCACCTACGCCCCACTCTTACAGAGCATCCTCAGTTCTGGTCCCTCACTGTGGTTCCCTTCCTGTCTCTTAATTGGTCCCTGACCCAGAGTACTTGCAGTCCAGAATATTCCACTGCAAAGTCAGGGGCTCCAGAAAGCTGAACAGCACTTAGCACTAAGTGATGGGGACCACTGTGATCTTATGAATGTTAACTGGAGTCTCTTGTCAAGGACTCTGTCTGCTTGGGTGGCCACACTCTCTGTCAGGAGGACCACCTGTGACCCTACTGTACCAAGTCATAATATGCCCCTCAAATCCTGTGTACTAACGTGGATGTGCAATACATGAAAAGCTAACTAAAACTAACAAATATTCATTCTGAAGAAGTACCATGGGCCTGGTGTGGTGGTGTATGCCTCTACACCTAGCTGGATCACCCCGAAACACCATAAGTTCAAGTGCAGCTAACACTACACAATGATATCCTGTCTTGAACACAAAACACAGACAGTGGCCATTGGGTTGGGGTTAGAGATAAGTGTAATAAAGAAAATGTGTCCCAACCAATGGGAAAGCACAAGTGTTCCATTTGGTGGTAAGAGCCTGGTGACAGTCTCAAGTTGTAATAAATGTGGATTAAAAAATAATATTTAAGTTGAAATTAAAAAACAATAATAACTGAAACCGTCACTTACCCTTGCTTCATTCTGGTGTAGTTTTTCCTCCATACTTAAGGCTGTAGGGGAGTCCAAGAGGGCAATCTACAATTTAAATCATAAAGACATCAGCAATTAATAAACAGAAATGATGAGCATTTCTAGGATTGTCCCAAAACCACAACAGTTTAACAAAAAATATTACATGTTTATAAAAATAATTTCTCATACAACCTCCAAAGTATTATCATTAAGTCTCTAATTCATGGAATACGTGTCCTAATACCCAAATCATGACATCACAGTTGTAAATATACATCTACAATACAATCAGCAAAGGAAAAATAATGGCAGCATCATTTCACTCAAGTCAAACACACCTAAATCCTTACAGATCTCAAAATTCATTTTTCTAATGTATAGAAGGAACAATGTTCAAAAAGATACCCAAGTATTGCTTAATAGTTCATCCATTTTGAAATATACAAACAAAATTCACTTGTTTTCACTGCTGATGGCATCCAGTATATGGCCCAGCTATGCTGCAATCTCTTTATTTCTTTATCCATGCTGCAGAAGGGTAAAATCTGAAGTCAAAAACACCAAAATCAGGTGAGAATCTAGGACAAGTGGATAGACTAGGGTTTCAGTAGCCTGTCTAAAACTTAAGCCTGGGCTTCAGTGGCAGGTGCATAAGTGCCCTATTCTGTCTACTGTTCTTGCTGCCAGAGATGTCACAGGAACAAATAGAAAGAGTTCTGCACAGGCAAGCATTCTTTCTCAATTTAGTGGAACCATGTTTTTGTTGTGTTATCATAAGTGCAAATAGCATAAGCCAACTATCCTGATTACTGCTTTTTTAAAAACAATATATTATCAATATATTTCTTATCTTTAAACAATATAAACCTTTTCTTTTTAATGATTTTATTTCCACTGTTGGGTATTCACTGCATAGGTACCCTGTAGTTGTTGTTGGTGCTTTCCTGACTGATGTAAATGAGGGTTTTTCTAATCATTTGTTCTTCCAGCAATGCTACAGTAACTATCCTTGTACTAACTGCCTACAGTATACATGACCATACCACCAGAATAAATTTCCTAGAGGGGAATTCCTTAGTCATCATGTGATTCTTCCCTACAGCACCAGCATGGTTTTCATTTCTCTTTCTTATGTCTTCAGTCTATCAGGGTGCCTGTGGGCCACACTGGGACTCTGTGATCAACAGAGGGCACAGCTGCTCAGTGGAGCAGCACAAGTGTAGAACTCAGAGGCAAGAGCCTAGTGACAGTCTCTATAGTGCTCCTCCAGCTATCCAAGTGTAGGGTGGAGATTCAGATGGGCATGTATGCAGCCCACCTTGGTTTTGAAATTCACAGGCCACTGCAGCCAAAGTCCAGTGAAAATATGAGGGTACACCTTCAAGAAGCCTTCTGAAGGACATGACCAATTACAGGAGTCCTTTGCTTCAGAGGACCCAATGGTATAGCTTCTTAGCCGCCATCTTAAGTTTATACATTGTCCATCTTAACTTGGAAGAAATTTATCAATTGAGGGATTGTCTTTATTATTATAAGTGCTTCCTGGTTATGCAGCTGGCATCCCACTTTTATCAGGTTTACATGAATGAAAGTAAAAATCACACTTTTCAAGATATTGCATACTCAATGGTATTCATTGTATTGGACACTTTTCACATATTCAGGAAGCAATATGAAACTTTTTCTACAACCTGTGTTCACACTATTTCTTCCCTTTCCTGCTGGGTTGTGATATTTGTATTTGTAATTGTTCTTGTTGTAGCAAGGGGAGTAGCATGAGGTTGCCTGAGCTGCAGCCTCCTTCCTAGTCTGAACCGTGCTGATTACAGCAGACGCTCATGGTGTTATGTGTACTTGCTGCATCCGCACTCAATTCTTCCTGCCTGCCTGCCTGTCTGCCTGCACTCTCACGGAAGGAGGGCATTCTCTGTGACAAATGTGTGTGGCTCTGTCTCCTCTGTTTCCAATTGTTTGTGTTTTCCTTTATGAAAGTTGATGTCCTGTCTGATGTTAATTATGAACTGCACTCTATGTCATGACAAAGTAATCTTTCTCATGCGCTAAAAGCATTGCTGTTTCTGCATCCCTCTCCTTCTCCGTGAGTTAACTGATAGGACTCTGCCTATTCCTACCAGTGCCATCTACCTGAGCTTTACTCTGTGCCCTTGTCTCAGCCTCTACGATGCTGTTCTATTATTTACGTTCCAGCACCAGGCCTCGTCATAAAAAAGAAGAGTCCATTATACCTCCATCTTTTTGCCCCATTGTTGTCTTTCCTGCCTAACTCTCATTGTTCATTTCATTTCTCCTTTTATTGATTTTTCCCAGGTACATTTGTTAGAGCTTAGGGAATGAAAACATTTTCTTTCTATAAAATTACAAGTGGAAATATTTGTAAATGCAAACAAAGCACTTGATGAGAGAATGTACCCAGAGACCAACTTCATAAATCATGTGAAAGGTGCTAAGTAAAACCATTCTGTGACACATATCAACCAAAATGGTTGGTGACAAGTAGGTAACACGAGTGTGGGCAAGGATCTGCAGAGACTAAACTGGTACTGGTATGTGTTGATGGGGAAAGGGAAGGGCATCACTACTAAAATCTGGTGGCACCTTCTAAAATTATATGATATGTATACCTCTGACCACCAAGTCCTCTTAGGCGTAACATCCACAGAAATATATCTGTATGTGTACAATAAGGCTTTTAAAGGTCCACAACAAACATAATAACCCCAAACTGGAAATATCCAAAAAGCAATCAAAAGTTGACAGATGAACTAGGAAATGTTTGTGTAATGGAGTACAAACAGATGCAAGTAAGCAGAGCCTCACCTACATGCAATGGCATGGAAGAACCTCATAAACACACTGGATCCAAATAATACATTCTGCAAGACCCCATTTACATAAAGAGCAAAAGCAAGCAAAATCAAAACCTCTGCCTCAATTGGTCGGAAGGTGGGTACCCTTGAGAGGATGGGAGGGTGGGTCCTGGCTGGAGTACTAAGAGTGATTGCTAGGACATAGTGAAGCCCTATTCTCAAGATGAGTACAGGGAAAGGCGTGACTTGAGCTTCTAAATCCATGTAACTATATATACATGATGCAATTTTTCTGTACTTATATATACTTCTGTAAAAATTCTCTGTATACATTAACATAAATATACACATATATTTCTGTATAATAGAAGTAAATACATCTCAGAATCTTTCTGTTTTATGACACATGATCTCTGTAGTGGTAATATGCAAAATCACTAAAAATAAGAACTGATTTTTATTTAGCTTTGCTTAAATAAACAATTCTAAAAATGGAAACTAAATTAACACTCAAAGAACTATAGAAGCATTGGAATAGAATATTCTAGAAATAGAGGAATGTTCTCAGAAAGATTTACTCAGAATTATTTTAAAGAGAAACTGAAAGAGGGATTTGTGTGTGTGTGTGTGTGTGTGTGTGTGTGTGTGTGTGTGTGTGTCTGTGTAGGTGCACAAATCTGGTAGGTCAGAGGACAACTTTGAGTGTTGGTCCTCAGGTACCTTCTACCATAGTTTGAAATCTGTCTCTCATAAGCTGGAATTTCACAATGCAGGTGAGGCTACTGGTCAACAAGCTCACAGGGTTCTGCAAGTCTCCATCCCCTATCTCACCATGACATTTAACCTCTCACCTGGCTCAATATAAGCAAGTACTCACCAACCAGACCACCCTCCAGTCGCTTAATCAGAGATTGTTTTTTATGACACTTACGAAAATTTGTTTTTTATTAATTATCACAAATTCAACTAAATAGGATTTGCTTATAATGTATCAAAGATTTATAGTTACAGATTATTCCTTAGTTTGGATCAGGCTCCCAGGTTCACTATAATGTATGTTAAATTTATCAAAATAAATTCTAAATAGACTTTCAATCCTCACTTCTAAAACAGTAACAGAGTTACTCCTTTAGTTATAGAAATGGCATTAACTCATGAAAGACATTAAGGGAATAAATAAACACAACAACAGACAAACAAAACAAACACAACCACAAACAAGGCAAGCACAAGACAGGGTTGATGAGATGTTTTAGTGGCTGTGCTGGGTAGTTTTATGTCAACTTGACAAACGCTAAAGCCCTCTGAGAGGAGGGCACCTCAATTAAGAAAATGCTTCTATAAGATGGGGTTCCAGGCATGCCTATAAGGCATTTTCTTTATTATTAATTGATAAGGGAAGGCCCAGTCCATTGTGGGTGGTGCCATCTCTGGGCAAGTGATCCCAGGTTCTGTTAGAAAGCAGGCTGAGCATCAGCTCCTGCTTCCAGGTTCCTGTACTAGTTGAGTTCCTATCCTGACTTCCTTCAGTGATGAACAGTGATGGAAATGTAAGCCACATAAACCCTTTCCTTCCCAAGCTGCCTTTGGTCACAGTGTTTCATCACAGCAACTAACAAATACAGTGGGTAAAGACACTTGTCACCAAACCTGATGACAGGAAATCAAGCCTAGGAACCCACATGCTGAAAGGAGAGAACTAAATCCTTAAGGTTGTCTTCTGACCCCCACAGGGGTACCATGGTACGTGCATATCCACTCTCCCTCAACATGGTCTCTTACACAATCAAATGTAATATTTTCTAAATACTTTCCTTCACATATTGGTCATTTAAAAGGCTTACTTTAGACAAATAACATATCCAAAACACAGATAAAGGATTCTATAAACAGAAACAAGTATTGTGGTTCCTGGTATCACATTCTACTGACAACTCCCTTTCACAGCAGAGGCCCGACATCACAAATGGAAGTGTGTGCACAGGCCTGACACACACAAATGGAAGTGTGTACAAAGTTGTGTTAAGTGCAATGAAGGAGTCCTGTTTAAGTGCTGTCTGCCATCTTGTGATATGTCTGCCAGGCAGACTTCAGGACACAGGAAACTGAGTTTGCATTTTGACAGTATTTCAATAGTTCAGATCATTTATGGGTTATCAAGAGTATGCAATATCATATATTCTTACAGGGAAAGTACTGAACAATTCCCATTTACAGAAATGGGGCTGTTTAATGTAGACTTAAGATGTCCACACATGGCCTAAGAACACAGGATGAAATAACTGTATCTTCATTTTATTTCTAACAGCAAGACTTTAAAATACTAGCCCTGATTTTCTTTCAAGGGTGACTTTTCTTCACAGTAGTACCTAAGCCATCTGGAACTTAGCTCACAAAGTTCTCACAGAGCATAACCGTGCAGGCACATGCTCACACTGTGAGAAACAAAAGAATACAGCTTCTCTGTAACTCAAAAGATCCTCAAGTCAGGTCACTTCAACAATCATGCAAGGCCCTGAAGAACAACATCACATCCAGGCCATAGACATGATATCAGAGGCACAATTAAGTCACCATAACCACCTATGGCATGGCTAAAGAGAGACCAAGAAAGGTGCCATACATATCCTCTCTGTTAAAATACATTTATAGTCATAAAACACATGGGAAGAATTTTGAATATTAATCTAAGCATCTAAATTTCTTCTTACTAATGGAGATTATGCCACTAATCCTATTGCATGCTAAATTTCCATCCATAATTGATAACTATTAGATGGTTAATCATTTAAGGTTTGATGGATAAAATCTTACACCCAGAATGCATAAGGAATGCAAAGGCCAAAAGGAAGCTGATATAGAGACTGGCTAACTCATCCAAAGCTTTACTTAGCACTTACTTACTCAAATCAATACCAAAGGATAATTGTCTCATTAAGATCTAGAAATAGATGCCATTACTCAAAGAAAATTATCTATAAATCTCAGAAAAACTCAACCTGATTCCCTTGAGCAAGCAGGGTTTTCAGCCTGGCTATTTCAGCTCGCAGCTCACGGATGAGTTTGACGTTGGCATCCTCATTAATGGTAGGCTTGTTGATGATGTTTTTGGCTCTATTTGCATAGCGAAGGGTACTTAGGGTTTCTCCATAATTGACATCAGCAGGTGAAATGGCTGTGAAGAATGAATATGAAAAATAATTCATCTAGTGCTCCATGTTTCATTTAACACAAAGTTGGTTTGTGATTTAAAAGTCAGATCAACCCCAGGTCACAGGAAAGACTAAATATTCATTGCCAGAGTAATGAATATGAAAAAATTATCTAAGGCTTATAGGAAAGGGTGTTCACTATACCAAATTCAATGTCGTTTTGCTCATCTCACATCTATAATCAGCCACTTGAACAACTTCAAGATAGGGTGTGAGATACCCCACACAGGGAAGGGTTTTCTCCGCTGATAATGTGAAATTTCAGGAATGCACTTCTCCACTGAGCAGGAATTAAAATAGTTTTGCATTTCTGATAAAAACTCATCATCTGTAAAAAAGTGCAGTGCCCAGCAATTTTTCAAAAGTCAGTAGGCTACTTAATTCTTCCCTTCTGGAAGATCTGGTTATTTCTACACTGAAGGCCACAGTAACTTCCACCTAACCATTAAGACTGGGGTGGATACATGGTTGTGTTCTCTTGATGCCACCAGTGAGTGCAGGACAAGAGCTGTGAAGAGGACAGAGGAGGGAGAAAGGAAGAGGAGAGAGACAGAGGGAAGTAGAGCTGAGAGGGAAAAAGTCCCAAGTTCCCCTTAGCACATCTCCTGTTCTACGTTTTTTCTCAATCCTTCCTCTTTCACTTAATTGGTCAACTGCAAAAATAAAAGTATACTTCTATTCCTATTATACTCAATGTCTTTGTTTTTCCTTAAAATTTTAAATTCTGTATCTACCATTTTAAATGAAAAAAAAATGAGTTGTTTACTTGCTTTCTCTATGAAGGGTTTTCTGATGAGCTAGTAAAGTTCAAAGTGTCTGCCTTGTACTTAAAGCAAAGAGAAACTATTGTAGCCTCCATGGTGCCCAAGTCTACAGAACTACAAATTCCAAACTACAGATGTGTTACAATAGGTGACTTTCAAGACAGGAAGAAACATTTATTTAAGATATAAAAGATGCTGCATCCTAATAAGACACTTGCAACTTAAATATTTACCCTTAATTCACAGCAAACACTGATGCTCTGAAAAATAATTTAAATTCTTACTGGCAATCATGATGGTTTTAGAGTTTCCTCCAAGGCTGTCTTTCAACAGCCAAGTCAAAACAGAATCCCTGTAAGGCACAAAAACTTGCTTCTTCTTCACAAGAGGGTTGGCTGCATCCTGAGATAAATCAGCTGCCAGGAAAAAAGAAACAGATCATTCCAAAGCCTCTGCTTTCTTTAATTTAGCTCTAAAAGACCTGAGCACACTGCCTGGGTTTGGGAGACAAACATCCAGCAGGAGTGTTCTGAGCTAACATAGTACGGAGACAGAAAGGGGCAGGAGGTGTCTTCAAACCTACCTAAGGCAGAAATGACATTTCCCAGAGTCACCAGGGACTTGTTTATATTGCCCCCTTCCTTGAGTCTGACCCCAGTGGCACCGGTGGCATCCGCACGCTCACTACCAGCAAGATCAACCAAGTGAATCTTGCTCACAGTTTCACATGGCATTTCAGCATCGAATTTTGCCTGTGGAAAGACATGCATGTAATACTGAAGAAGACAAAAGTTTCCACGCTTGTCATGACCAAATCCCCACCATTTTCCAGTCCCAATGGAGATCTCTCAGGCAGGCCTTTTGTGTTCATTTTGTTATTTTATTGGCTACCATAGTGATTATGTGAACTGCCCAAATTGAACCTGACACAATAGAACTCTACTACATGTGACTCTCATGTTTTATGAAGAACCAGTCCATTTGGCAAACCACTGTCACTCTTAACAAAACCCTCAGGATTGGAGAACAAAAAAATATAAAACCAGCCCCTAAGGGGACCTGGAAAAGAAAACTAAATAAACACGTTAGTTTAATTCTTCAGAAGCTCCAGCATTCCATACGCAAAGGCTCTTTAGAACATGACTAACAAACAGCTATGCAATATAACATTTGATACTGTTTAATAAAACAAGCGTCTTTGAAGATGTGAAACATCAACTGTAAATTCCTTTGCTCTGAATCCTACTAGATGTTTATATTTCCAAAGACCTTTAACCTATGTTTTGCTTTTTTAGCCAAATGCAACAAATAATAATAAAAATAGACTTTGATGGACATGTAAACCTTTCAAAAACTATACTCAGCTACACACTAGCATCCACCAGAAAACTGAAGAAAGGCCAGTAAGTTGCCGTAATGCAAAGCGAAGCTCTAACTATGCTAGCAGGACAGGGAGAATGCCCAGAGAGCTTTCTGATTGGTCTTGGAGAGTCAACTTATTTTCCTGCCCTCTGATCCTCCAATTAGTAAAGGGCCGCCTTCCTGTTTCTGCTGTGTTCGATGTCAATGTGGACAGACAACTCCAATTCCTAACACTTGAGAAAGCCACGAAGACTTACAACTGTATATACCTGTGGTCTAGCTTTGGTAACAGACATACTTCCCCTCAGCCACTCCCAGTCACCTTCAAGATACTGTCCACCACCAGAGCATAATGAACTCTTACATTAGTGCCTCTGAGTACTCACTGTCCTCTAACACTCCTCTAATCATAATCTGTATCACCAGAGCCCGTGGAGTGATAATGGACTACACCCGTTTCTCACCGCAGCCTCCAGCTGCTCTGCTTCAAATTCCATTATCTCCCACTGAGCTTAGAACAATGAAAACTTTTGCTTAATTAGGCACAGGGCGAGTTTTTCTTATGGCTAGAACACGGTGGAAGCCTGCTAAATATTTGTAAGGATATCCATCAGGACTTTTAAGTCACTGTGAATATAGAAAGGCTGAGCACACAGCGTGTTCAACTCTAATTAACAAGGAAGTGACAGTCACCGTTGCTTTCTGCGGCTCCTGGTCCAACACGGATCAGCTGGTGCTAAACAGCAAGGAAAGGCCTGAGGGATGGAGCCTCTGCCCTGTGGCTGCCCTCACCTGAGTGAACTTGATGGTGAAGATGGCATGAGACCTGCTACTAACATCGTTCATCCCCGTGGCTGCAGTGGTCCGGTTGATATTCCCTGCGTCCATAAGTTCTTCCACATCACTGTAGTTCTGGACTAAATGCTTGGATAAATCTAGACGGGAAAGAGAAAGAGTTGAGGGAATCCTTCTGTTATGTAGTGGAGGAAATAGTAACATCCCTCTAAGAATCATGCCTACTGCGCATCTGCCGACCTGGTTGGAGATCTACAGAGTGGTGGCCTGTAATGCAGCCTGGGAGCTGGACCAGTTGGTTGGCCTCAGTGCGACTCAGGAAACTAATCTGAGTGCCCATTACACTCCATTACACAGAGTGCCGAGAATAAGAGTCAGCTATAAACAGCAATCTCTTAGAAGCAGCCATCGCACAAGGAAGAAGAATATGAAAACTCCACCCCTGGGAAGAGCCTCACACATGCCTCGCCCTCCTGCACAACCTGAAAATATTCTTAAACTCTAAAAGTTTTTCACTGTCTCCTTTTTCATAGGATTACAGTGTTTAGGGTTCCTCTGCTTTTTCCCTAGAGCAAGCTCTTTCCTTCCCTCCTGTCAGGTAACCAATCCATATACATAAAGTCACCGCCCCCTCCATGCACATGGTAGCATACTGGGAGAAACACATATGAGGTCCTCTGATCAATCCCGCGAACCACAATACAATGGTTTTTAGAGTAGCATATCAGGAACATTGTGCTGCTTCCTGCTTTTTCCCTAAGTCCATCTAAGGACAATCAGTAACAGTAAGGTGACCTGGTGTTCATCTGTAAGGCTGCAGAGAAATGGCTGTACTTCTGAGACACAATCAATTTAACCAGCTGCCTTTTGAGACTACAGAAGTTGATTTGATTTGCTTTTATTACCAAATACAAGTAAGGGCTATTAAAATATTGTGTGCACTGGTCTTTTCAAATGTATGAGAATGTGGCTACGAAATAAATTCTTGGAAGCAGAACTGCTAAATCAAAGGAATTAGAAACGCTGACATTTGCTGCAAAGCTCTCTTCCACAAAGGGTGGTTTGCTGCAGCGACAGTGAGGATGTGAAGCACGCTTGTCCCCCTCCCCCTCCCCAGCACCCTCTCTATCCACCTAGAGGGTTACAAGCATCATCTGTAAGGGCATTCAGTTTCTCTATTATGATGAAAGAAGCTGAGCAATGTTTCTTTCACTTAAAATTCACCCGTGGCTTGGGGTGGTAGTAAGTGGTGGTAGCTCGGGGTGGTGGTAGCTTGGGGTGGTGGTATAGTCCAATGCCACAGAGCATTTGGCTGGCACGCTCAAAGGAGACCCTGGGTCTGACTCCTAGCACCACTGGGAAAAAAGTTATTCTTCTATGGCTTCTGGGTTTTAAGCCAAATTTTTAAAAAACTTTTCTTCCTCTAAGATGGGAGGCGGGGGGGGGGGGACATGGTACCTTGTGATCATCTCATTATTTAGTATTTCACATGTAAATCCTTGACTTATTTTTCAAGTATTTTGGTATAAAAATTGAGTGATGACACTTTATTTTTTTCTTTTCAGATAAACTAAAATCCATATTCCCCAATATCTGAATACTTCATTACTTAAAATTCTATAAGGATCATAAGTAAAAAGGTCAAAGGATCCAGATGTTTTTACCCTGTTTAATTATTGTCTCTTCATTTATCAGTTTTATATGTTTTAACATCTGCTATATCAATTAAAAGAAAAATATAAAGCTTATGTTAAACTAAAAGCAATAGGTATTCCATAACACCCCCCAACACACACATACACACACACACACACACACACACACACACAGAGCGCTGCACACTTTGCTCTGGGGTGGCAGAGCACAAATGCAAATGGGAACTTAAAATATACATGGGGTCCTGTTGACACACTGAGGACCTCAAGGTTTAGAAAAAGAAAAAAGGAACAAAAAGAGGTACATCTTCAAATCTATGTCCAGTTCCATTCTTGATAGCAAGGAAACATGCTCCATGGACAACACCATAAGAGAGCATGTTTCCATTAGCAATCCCTACTCCCTTAGGCTACTCCCCTGCAGTTTACTCAGTTCCCTCAGGGAGAGCAAAATTAGCCTAACAAGCATGACCTGAAACCCAGTGTATTAGTTACTCCTCTCACTGCAGTGATAAAATATACTTGGCAACAAGACTTAACGAAAGAAAGGTTTATCTTGGCTCAAAGTTCAAGAGGAGACAGTCAACTAGAGTGGTGAAGGCATGGTGGCAGAACTAGGAAGCACCTAGTCCCTAGTTGCATTGTGTCCGTAATTAGGAAGCAGAGGGCCAGGAATGCTTCTGTTCAGCTTCATTCAGTCTGCATCCCCAGAATATGGAATGGTGCTACCCATATTTAGCATGAAGTTGACCTACCTCAACTAAAGTAATCTAGATAATCCCTCATACACATGCCCAGAGATTTGTTTCCATGGTAATTCAAAAATTGCATGGAGTTGACAAAAAGATTAACTATCACAGCCAGCCTGGCAAGGGCCAGTTCTCTATACCCATTACAAGCAACACCCTCCATGATTTCACTGTGCCTCAGTTAGTACTATGGACAGGGACACCACTAAGAGACCAGAGATTTAATGAACCAAGAACCCCAAAGTGTTCACATCAGAGTGCTGTAACTTAACACCACAGAACTGCATCCCAGAAATGATGGCCAGATCCTTTGACCAACACTAATCTTAAATGCAAGACCTTTGCTTGCATGGCTAATGCATGACCCTGGTTTGTATGGCTATTACATAGCTCTGGTTTGCATGGTTGTTTCATGACCCTGGCTTGCATGGCTATTGCAGGACCCTGGCTTGCATGGCTATTGCAGGACCCTGGCTTGCATGGCTATTGCAGGACCCTGGCTTGCATGGCTATTGCAGGACCCTGGCTTGCATGGCTATTGCAGGACCCTGGCTTGCATGGCTATTGCAGGACCCTGGCTTGCATGGCTATTGCAGGACCCTGGCTTGCATGGCTATTGCATGACCCTGGCTTGCATGGCTATTGCAGGACCCTGGCTTGCATGGCTATTGCATGATTCTGGCTTGCATGGCTATTACATAGCCCTGGTTTGCATGGCTATTGCATGACCCTGATTTACATGGCTATTAATTGCATGACATAGGGTACACAACCGAAGTTCTATCCACAAAGGCTCAAGTTAACCTCCCAGACCTGTACTTAAGCCAGTATGGACTGTACTCCTTCACATGGCATGCATTATATGCCAGGAAACTGCATACAGAGAAACCCACCCCCAAACCATGAAAGTAAACGGTGACCTTCACAGCACATCAGTGTGCTTCTCTAGCTATTGCTTAGCCTGCTGTGCGCTTGCGCTATACTCAGTGAACTACTTTTCCTATTTTAATATAAAGGGCCGATTCATTCACTGTCTGTCAGACCCTTCCTGACACTGTACAGATAGGTACCCAGTCCACCGTAGTTATCATATCACAACACATATGCCCGAGAACCAAGAGGGAACACCCATGGGAACTCTTCTGACTAACAAAAGGTCTGACACCATCTTCTTCCACCCACCACAACAAGGTCAGTGAAAGTACCGTCCGTCACTGCAACACACAGGTTTTGGGGGTGGGACTTGATTGTCTTGTTGAAAATGATAGGAAAACCAATTTCCAGACAGTTTTTTAAGCCAAAGGAAATGATGAGTAGGCCTCACAAAACACCTAGTGAAGTACAGACTCAAAGAATGAATGGCAGCTCCTGGCACCTTTACTGTAATAAAATTCCAAAAGTAAACAACTTTTTAAAATTCTTACCATCACCACAGTTTTCATTTTTGATTTTTACAATTCAAAGGGAGAGCAAGGGAGTGTATAAAGAAGACAAGAAACTTCCTTCTTACCCTCAACGTAAGGTCCTTCTTTGGGATGCTCACGGACTCGTAAGTTAAAGGTTTTAGATGACTTCCGCCTAAGTAGGTCTCTCACGCGTTCGTTGTAAATTTCTAAGTAGCTAAAAGTTTTAAATAGAATGAATTTTAGAAAAATCATTTTAAGACACTAATAACAACAAGCATGACATGTGGCAGCAGCAGTCATGTGCACTTCTGCTGTATACTTTACAAGAGGCATCTCACTGAATCCCTGCAGCGGCCCAGAGGTGGGTACTTCATCAACCCCATTTTATACACATGACAAGAGAAGGCTGGTGTGCTTTAAATAACTCGCCTAGAGTCACAGTCACCAAGAGGATGGGTGGCTCTGAGCACTACAGGCGGACACAGCTCTGCTCAAGACCACTGGAGAAACTTGGTGACAAAAAGGAAAAGGTGCTCCGTGCACCCAGGTTGATGCGAGGGTGAGATGCACAGAGTCTCTCAGCCAAAAGAGCAAGACTAACCGCATGAGCTCACAGAGGCTAAGGGCTCGCTCCATCTGAGACAAGAAAACAGAACACCAAAGTTTCCATCGAGCGACGATATTTCATACCCAAACTGTACCCAAGGAATCTCGGTTCTATTCCTAACTAACAGTAAGTTCAGGTCAGGAAGGGACAGGCTCATCCCTCAGAAATCTGCAGCCTCACCCGTGTCTTTGACACCTCTGTACAAGTCAAGCAGCCTGAGGCTCTCAGAACTCTATACCTCAGGTCCTGGACCTACCTGACTTCTGTCCTGAAAGAGGCTTCATCCCATCTGGTGGTTTCATTTATCCGACTGAAGAGTGCTTCACAGATTCGAGGTATTAAACCAGAATCGCCCTGAAATGGAGAAGACGGGTGTTGGAACCATCATTCAAGCTAGATTCAAGCAGATAATGAACTTGAAGTTTGCTGGCATGGACTCTAGAGCCCAGGGTATCAATCAAGCCCAAACCTTCCACCAAGAGTCCCTTAAGACTGCTTCTTACACTGAAATGAAAAGATAATGCCGTCTAATTTCTAAATGCTATTATTTGGATAATATCAGGTATTAAACTAGCAAACACTGGCTGGCAAGGATAAGAAGACTTGATCTCTATCAAAGAATATAGTTTATAATATAGAATAAATCTTAAAAATAGCTGGCTAAATGACAAAGCAGGGATAATACATACCACATACAAAAGAAATACTGACCCAAAAAAAAAAAAAAAAAAACCTTCCAATGTCCTCCAGATAGGCATCTTAAAATGTAGGTGGCAGAAACACATTGAACTATGGAAGACAGGCTTCCTTTGGTATAGCAATCCACGTGTTTCCTCTTAGGAAGAACAAATCCACCATATCACTAAGTGATGAGGGTATATAATCATAGTTCAGTATGCACAAACAAGCCTGTGGGCAACACTCCGTGGACTGGCTAGTTTTATGTCAACTGAGAGGAGGGAGTCTCAGTTGAGAAAATGCCTCCATAAGGTCAGGCTCTAAGCAGACAAAAGGGGCATTTTCTTAATTAGTGACTGGAGAGGGTCCAGTTCATTGTGGGTGGGGCCACCCATAGGATGCTGGTCCTGGGTTCTATAAGAAAGCAGTCTGAACAAGCTTGGGGAGCAAGCCAGTAAACAGCTCCCCTCGATGGCCTCTGCATCAGCTCTTGCTTCCAGATTCCTTCCCTGTCTGAGTTTCTGTCCTGACTTCCTTTAGTACTGAACTACAATGTGGAAGTGTAAGCCAAATAAACCCTTCGCTCCCCAACGTGTTTTTAGTCATGCTGCTTCATCTTAGTAATAGTAACACAAACTGAGACACTGTATCAGACAGCATGCCCTCGCTAGGAAATCCAGACCTCAGAGCACCTGTGCATTCTTGGCCAGTCCTTTCCTACCTCCTCTCAGCTGCCCCTCTAAGAATTGAAAAACTACCATTGCTGTGGCTTTAAGGTATTTTTCCTCTTTGCATCTACCATTCAATTGGTCCAAGCTGTTACCAAGGAAAATGGATACTTCCACCACAAGTTTTTCTTCTTACTTTAGAATAAGTAGGTAGAATACTGAACCCGTACTTACCTTCAAGGTTATAGAAAAAGCACTTGCCATGTAGGAGTGCTTTATATAAAGTAGTGAAAAACTGACATGCAACTTTCACTTTTAGAGGTTTTTTTTTTTCCAAAAAAAAAAATTCAGTAGGAAAAGAAGAGAAAAATAATAAAGTAAAATGGAAAATATGAGGTATGCTGTCTCTCTCTGTCTCTCTCTCTCTTTCATCCTTTCAGAATAATGCACAACTCTGTGCCTTATTTTCCACTTAAACAGAAAGTCTGGGTTTGAGAAGCCAGGTTCCAGGCACGGAAATGATGTTTTGTTCCCTCCAGTACCCAATACCATGCTTCCATGAACCACAAACCTTGACCACTGAAGACACCACTGTGTCTGCTGGCAGGGGACCCTACAGTCACTCACAATCTAGAGCACACCACAGGTTTGGCCATATTGAACAGAGTTCTCACTGCCACATAAAAAAGATAATTAAATATGTACCACTGTCTTAAGTACTTCTCTGTGGGCTGTGTTTGCCTTTTTTTTTTTTTTTTTTTTTGGTCTCCCAAACTTCATCGGGCTGGTCTCAAGTTTGTGATCAAGTTTGTGATCAGCTGGGATTACAAGCATGTGCCATCATGTCCAAACTTACTATATTTACATTTCACTTCTCCACATTCTGATGCAAACACAACACAGTGCCTGTCAAATTACATTAATTACTAAACTGTAGATACTGTGTTTTTAACCATATAAACTGTAAGGGCTCTGTAATGCCAACTTTTTCATGTATTTACTGGACTTACATAACACCTTTCCATCAAAAAGTTAGATATTCCTTTTTACACTATTCTTAGGAAAAATGTTCTGAATAATTTTAAAAAGAGCAGACTTTGGTAATTTTATTCAAACTGTTATGCTGGCAGAAAAGAAGAATAAATTACTTTCTTGATAAAATTATAAGGCTTTTAAAAGAAGAAACGAACTGGGACTTGCACCCATTATTCCTGAACTATTTCTAATTTCAAATCTCTCCAAGGAAATTTAGTTCAGCTTATTACTGAGTTTTATCTTATTACTAAAGGAAGATCAGAACAAAAGTTGGTAGGGATAATTCTATCACTCCAGAGAAAGGTAACTAGAAATTTCCTTCACACACAGTACATAAACAACTAAACAACTTACAGAATTTCCCATCATAGTGTAGGACTTTCCGGATCCAGTTTGCCCATATGCAAAGACACAAGCATTATAACCTTCAAATGCAGATTTCACGACATCTGTGCCCAGAGTTCTGAAAACCTAAAAGAAAAAAAAATATATATATATATACATATATACATATATACATAAACACAAAGGCTGAAAGTGCCGTGGGTTTTAATAAAAGTCCGTGCAGTGTTGACAATATTCTTGAATGTTACTTTCATCTCGAGGGATTACAGCATAAAAATAAATCACTGCCGAGCTGTAACAACAGAATATGTATGCACCCCAGTTTTTAATCAAAAGTAAACTTTCCAAGCAAGCAAAAAGCAGCACCGTCCTTTTTCCTACTTAAACTAGCAAATGATTTCTGAAATAAAAATGTAAACAAGGCCAAGTGGCAATTGTGTCCAGAAGCAAAGATTTTTAACACATGATATTAAAATTCAGAACTGCATAATGTGTAAGCCTATTCATCTTATCAGAGACTCCAGAAATTAGTATTAAAAACCTAAAGGTCATAGTAGCCAGAAATTATTGCCTGAATCCTGCCAAATCAAAGTCTTCGTTTCTCAGGACCAGTCTCCAGGAGGCCTGGGGTAGCAAAGTGCTGGGGATGAGATGGTGAATGGCTGGACTCCCACACAACTGGGCCCGGATGTATTTTCCTGTCCAGATACTTATCCAAATATTGTAGACATGGTGGGGAGACAAGAGGGTCACATCCACAATCAGTCTTCGTCCTATTCCCTACACAATTGTGAGTTGGGGGTAAAGAAGGTGAAGCAGGAATGCTCCAGGAGCACAACTAATGTCAAAGAGACAGATTAAAATGTGAACTGGCCCTGTTATACCCAAGCTAGGAAGGAATGAGCCAAAGATTTGTTGATGTCACAATGTCCTCTAAGCCCACCACACCAAGGCCCCCTCAAATACTTCTGCTACAAAGAGTAGGAGCAATGGCAACTAGAGATGTCAGAGAACGAATGCCATCAGATTCACAGTCAAGGCTGAGGGAAAAAATAAGCAAGTGGGATGACCACTGTACAAGGTGAGGACTCCTACAGTGATGAGCCCTCTGAGCCAACATCAGGAAGCCCAGAAAGCTACTTCTCCCATACTACCCATAGCAGCCAACCCTAGGCTATCCTGGCCATGACAGTACCTGGAGAGCTCTGAGGAGTCCCAGTGGCCAGGCCAGCAACCCAGTCCAGTGAAGTATGACTCTCTATGTGAACCCAGGAGTCAGTATACTGCAAGACTTCTCAAGGGAATGAATACTGCACCCCTGACCACAGCAAAGTCTGCTCACAATTCAGGTGACATCCACAGGGTAACAAAAAATATAGCTCAATAGGCTCAGGCTTTCTTCCTTCTATCCTGTTTGCACTTCCTTCAGCTCCCTCAGTAAAACTTTACTAACTATAATTTCAACTGAAGTTCTTTCACAAATGGCTATAGCCACTTATTCTCGGTTAATTTTTATCCATTTCAGCTTTAGACACTATTATTTTCTGATTACACTGTCAGAGTCTAAGGACTTACTCAATATCCAGCCATGACAGTGGCTCACATTTACTGGGCACTGTCACAGGTTCATGCACTAATTCGAAGAGAAAAGGGCTCATGAACCCTCAGATGACGAAGCTGACAGGGAAGGTCAGTATTCAGAGCCTGGCCAGTGAGTGGCAGAGCTGGGGCTGAACCTCATACAGGGCCTTGGTCACACCCTCTAAATTCCCACAGCGCTGGTGCTAGCTGGAAGGATGTTATCTTCAAACTTCTGTGAAGCTAGAACCCCAAGGGGACTCAGGTATCCAGATCACAAGCTGGGGCATCCTTTCACCAATACATATGCAATATACGTAAAAATTCTACTTCTCCAATTCTCTCAAATTGGAGCCAAAAGAAAAAGTCTTCCATAGACATTTCAGGAAGGGACATTTCTCATAGCCCAGACTAAGGTAAAATAAATCACAGAAAACAGTTAAACTAAACTCAAGTGTTTCCACAATTTATGACCTAGCCCAGCCCTTTGCTGGCCTTGAAAAAGCTGACCCAGACCCTCATGGGAAAGCTGATCCCTACATAGAAAGAGATGGCCCCTCCCCTCATCACAGGCCAGGGAGAATAGGGACAGCTCTCCTGTCCAATAGGATACTTGGTCCCACCACCTTGCCTAAGGTTGGTGGCCCCAGTGGTCCAAACTGACCAGCTCAGCTACCACCCAGGCCCACAATCAGGCCTTGGGTTGGAACACCTTAATCTCCATCCTATCTAGGACCTGCTAGAGCTTGTGAAGGGACTGGTCCTGTTGAATGATATCCACAGGGGTGACCGTGGGATATCCCAGAAGAATTTCCTCGAGGATTCAGTGATGATGGTGTATCAGAAACCAGAGTCCTTGAACCAGCCCAGTGAGAAGGCTCCTTTCAAAGGTGACCCAAGACATCCCAGGGCCTCAACAGCTAGGAATCAACCACAAGAGGGCACTGCTGAAACAGCCACTGCCAGCTAGCCTGGAAACTGGGAGATTATTGGTTTCAAGTATCTCCAGGATTGACTTAAGAAGTGGGTAGTATGAAAGAGATCAAAGCTTCCCAATGGAGTTTTAGAGAACCATTAAGAGAATTAAGGCCTTCTTTAATGGTCTTTAATTTACAAGCCTAGGGGTTTTAATTGCTCATTGATCTTTTTTTCCTAATTCTAAAATAATTGTTTATTTTTTAAAGATTCTAACTGTTTTCCTGCATCTACGATGACTTATTAACATGGCTTAGTAGTAGTGTGTTTTAGTTTGGAAATTCCACAAAGCAATCCCAGGTTACTCTCTGTAAGAATCCCTGAAGCACCAAAAAGAATCACTGTGCAATCCCCTAAAAGCATGGCATTTTCCTTGTGGGTAGAAAGCTTGAACAGTCTAGATCTCCCTCTAAACTCTACATTGGCTTTTAACTACCAGAGAGAAGAGCTACTTTTATTTTTTTATGTCCCTTACTTTGATTATTGTAAATCTCAGGAAGTTACTTCCTGCTCCCACAAATTAACCATCTACAAATTAGGTCATTTGATCAGCAAACATTTTCCAACCAGGTCCTGTCAGTCACAAGATGCTCTCCATCGTTCTGTGTAGCCACCAGGGTATTGAACCTGCTCCCACCCACTGTAAAGGAACCGTGGTCACATACCCACCAGGGGAGGAAGAGACTCCTTCTGCACTCACAGAAAGAAATTATGGGAAGGAGACAATACAAAAACACACCCACCAACAGAAAAACCAATATGACAATGCCAGAAACTAGAGAATCTACAACCACAAGACCAGAACAGTCCTTTGTGGAAGAAGCAGATGAGAAAGACCTTAAAAACAACTTCATGAAAATGATAGAGGCCCTCAAAGAAGGTATGAGAAAATCCCTTAAAGACATGGTAGTAAAAACAAACCAAAACAAGAAATGGAGGAAAAAAACAATCCAAAAATGCAAGAGAGGAAAAGACAAAGGAAAAATTAAAATAAACAATTCAAAAAGTACAAGGGTTGAAAGCTGAAATAGAGACAATAAAAAAAAAACAGTCTGAAAGAATGCTGGAAACGGAAAAGCAGGCAAAAGGACAGGTACTACAGATACAAACATAACCAGCAGAATACAAGAAATGGAAGACAGAATCTCAGGAGTTGAAGATACACTAGGGGAAATAGATTCATCTACCAAAGAAAATCTCAGAGTTCAGGATTGGGAAAAGATTTGCCAATCAAATGGACCCAATATGCAGGCAGGGGTAGCAATCCTAATATCTAACAATTTAGATTTCAAAATAAAATCAATCAAAAGAGATGAAGGAGGGCACTTCATACTCATCACAGGAGAAATCCACCAAGATGAAGTTTCAATTTTGAACATCTATGCCCCAAATACAAAGGCACCCACAGTCATAAAAGAAACATTACTAAAACTCAAATCACATATAAAGCCCCACACACTTATAGTGGGAGACTTCAACACCCCACTCTCACCACTAAAAAGGACTACCAGACAGAAACTTAACAAAGAAGCAAAGGAACTAATAGAAGTTATGATCCAATGGAGATTAACAGACATCTATAGAACATTCCACCCAAATAAAAAAGAATATACCTTCTTCTCAGAGCCACATTGAACCTTCTCAAAAATCGACCACAAACTTGGCAACATATGAAATCTCAACAGGTACAAAAATTTTTGGAATAATTCCATGCACCTTATCAGACCACCATGCCTTAACGTTAGAATTCAGTAATAACACAAATCTCAGAAACCCTGCAGACTCATGGAAATTGAATAATGCACAATTGCACCATTCCAAGGTCAATGAAGAAATAAAAAAAGAAATTAAGACTTCCTAGAATTCAATGAGAATGAGGACACAACATACCCAAACTTATAGGACATTTTGAAAGCAGTGCTACGAGGGAAGTTCATAGCACTAAGTGCCCACATGAAAAAACTGGAAAATAGTTACACTGGAGAATTAACAGCACAACTGAAAGCTCTAGAACACAAAGAAGCAAATTCACACAGGAGGAGTAGACACCAGGAAATAATCAAATTGAGGGCTGAAATTAACAAAGCAGAGACTAGAAAAACAATACAAAAAAATCAATGTAACGAAGAGTTGGTTCTTTGAGAAAATCAACAAGATAGACAAACCTTTATCCAAACTTACCAAATGACAGAGTGTGAACATGAAAATTAACAAAATCAGAAATGAAAAGGAGGACATAACAACAGACACTGAGGAAATCCAGAGAATCATCAGGTCATACTTTGAAAACCTGTACTCCACACAATTTGAAAATCGAAAGGAAATGGACAATTTTCTGGATAGACATCACTTGCCAAAATTAAATCAAGAACAGATAAGCAATTTAAATGGACCTATAACTCCTAAGGAAATAGAAGGAGTCATCAAAAGTCTCCCAACCAAAAAAAGCCCAGGGCCAGATGGCCTCAGTGCAAACTTCTACCAGAAATTCAAAGAACACCTTACACCAATTCTTCTCAACGTATTCCATGTAATAGAAGCAGAAGGGTCTTTGCCAAATTCTTTCTACGAGGCTTCAATAACCTTGATCCCCAAGCCACACAAAGATACAACTAAGAAAGAGAACTTCAGACCAATATCCCTCATGAACATTGATGCAAAACTACTCAATAAAATACTGGCAAGCAGACCTAAGAACACATCAGAAAACTCATTTACCATGATTAATTAGGCATCATCCCAGGCATGCAGGGTTGGTTCAACATACGAAAATAAATCAATATAATCCAACATATAAACAAGCTGAGAAACAAAAATCACATGATCATGTCTCTGGATGCTGAAAAAGCCTTTGACAAAATCCAGCACCCCTTCATGATAAAGGTCTTGGAGAGATCTGGGATAACAGGAACTTACCTCAACATAATAAAAGCTATATACAGCAAACCAACAGCCAACATCAAACTAAAAGAACAGAAACTCAACGCAATTAATTCCGCTAAGATCAGGAACAAGACAAGGTTGTCAACTCTCTCCAAAACCTTTTCAATATTGTACTTGAAGTTCTAGCTTGAGCAGTATGACAACAAAAGGAGATCAAGGGGATACAAATTGGAAAGGAAGAGGTCAAACTTTCACTATTTGCAGATGATATAATAGTTTACATAAGTGACCCAAAAAACTCTACCAGGGAACTCCTGCAGCTGATAAATACTTTCAGCAAAGTGGCAGGATACAAGATCAACTCAAGAAAATCAGTAACCCTACTATATACAGATGATAAAAGGGCTGAGAAAGAAATCAGAGAAACATCAGCCTTTACAATAGCCACAAACAACATAAAATACCTTTGGATAACACTAACCAAACAAGTGAATGACCCGTATAGCAAGAACTTTGAGTCTTTAAAGAAAGAAATTAAAGAAGACACCAGAAGGTGGAAAGATCTCCCATGTTCTTGGATAGGTAGAATCAACATAGTAAAAATGGCAATCTTACCAAAAGCAATATACAGATTTAACACAATCCCCATTAAAATCCCAACACAATTCTTCACACACCTTGAAAGAACAATAATCAACTTTGTATGGAAAAACAAAAGACCCAGGAGAGGCAAAACAACCTTATTGGACAAAGCAACATCTGGAAGCATTGCCATCCCTGACTTCAAGCTCTACTATAGAGCTGTAGTCCTGAAAACAGCTTGGTATTGGCACAAAAATAGACAGGTAGGCCAATGGAATCAAATTGAACACCCTGATATTAACCCATACATGTATGAACATCTGATTTTCAACAAAGAAGCTAAACATATACAATGGAAAACAGAAAGCATCTTGATCAAATGGTGCTGGCATAACTGGATGCTGGCATGTAGAAGAATGAGGATAGATACATGTCTATCGCCATGCACAAAACTTAAGTCCAAATTGATCAAAGACCTCAACATAAATCCAGCCACACTGAACCTGTTAGAAGAGAAAGTAGAAGGCACCCTTGAATGAATTGGTACAAGGTACAGCTTCCTGAACATAACTCCAGTAGCACAGATACTAAGATCGACAATTAATAAACAGGACCTCCTGAAGCTGAGAAGCCAGCAAGACAAAAAGGCAACCCACAGATTGGGAAAAGATATTCACCAACCCCACATGTTACAGAGGGCTGTTCTCCAAAATTTACTAAGAACTCAAAAAGCAAGCCTCCAAAACACCAAAGGATCCAATCAAAAAATGGGGTAGAGAACTAAATAGAGAATTCTCAGTAGAGGAGACTAAAACGAGTGAGAGACACTTGGGAAAGTGCTCAACATCCCTAGCCATCCAGGAAATGCAAATCAAAACAACTCTGAGACACCATCTCACTCCTGTCAGAATGGCTAAAATTAAAAACTCCAAGGACAGTTTATGCTGGAGAGGATGTGGAGAAAGGAGAACACTCCTCCACTGCTGGTGGGAGTGCCATCTTATATAGCCACTTTGGAAATCAGTATGGAGATTCCTCAAGAAAAATGGAAATCAGTCTACCACAAGACCCTGCAATTCCACTCTTAGGCATATATGCAAAAGATACACATTCATACAACAAAGTTGTCTGTTCCACTATGTTCATAGCAGCATTATTTGCAACAGCCAGAACCTGGAAGCAACCTAGATGGCCCTCAACTGAAAAGTGGATAGAGAAAATGTGGTACATTTACACAATGGAGTACTATTCAGCAGAAAAAAAATAGAATCTTAAAATTTGTGGGCAAATGGATGGCACTAGAAGAAACCATACTCAGTGAGGTAACCCAGTCACAAAAAGAGGAACATGGTATGTACTCACTCATTTACAGATTTTAGACATGAATCAGGGGAGTGCCAGCACACAATCCCACTGCCAGAGAGTCTAAGAAACAGAACCTGCATCCAGCGACTGATGACAGCAGAAGCAGATACCCACAGACAAACACTGATCTGAACTCTTGGAATCCAGTGTCAGAAAGAAAGAACTGATGGGCAAAGGAGTTAAGACTGGGCTGGTTTAACCGACAGAAACACTTGACCTGAACAAGGGGGAGATCTTGGACTCCAGATTGATGGCTGTGTGGAAAGCATGGAACTGACCCAGACCCCCTGAATGTGGGTGTCAGTGAGGAGGCCTAGGTAATCTATGGGGCCTTGGGTAGTATTTATCCCTGGCAAACAAATAGACTTTGAGTTCCCATGCCACAATATGGGAGGCTCTCTCAGCCAGGACTCTTGGGGGGAGGGCCTACACCCTTTTCTGGATGAAATGACAGTTACTGGAGATCCACCATGGAGGGCCTCACCCTCCCTGGGGATCGGAGTGGAAACTGGGTGGGGGACTAGGGGACCTGGTGGGGAGGGCAGGGGAGGAGGGGAGGAAGAGGGAGCTGGGAATGACATGTGAAACAAGATTGTTTCTAACCTAAATTTTAAAAAAAAAAAGACAGAGAACAAGGAGAGGAGGACATCAAGAGCTAGCCACTCAGCCAGCCATGGAATAAGAAGGAAAGTAAGATATACAGAAGCAAGAAAGATAAAAGTCCAGAGGGAAAAGATAGACGGGGTATTTAAGACAAAAAAGCTGGCTTTCAACAAGCCAAGCCAAGGCCAGGCATTCATAACTAATAAGACTCCATATGTGATTTATTCAGGAGGTGAGTGGCAGGCCCTCAAAAAAGTCAAAAGAGTAAAAACATCTGCACAACACTAGACTGTCCACTGCCAGTATATACAGACCAGCCACTTTGATCCCAAAGTCATCCTTACTCTTTCCCTCAGCCCCCTCCTCATTTATTGATAAGAGGCTTCCCTCTCTTCCCACCTGACAGCTGGAATCATTCCTTTTCTCCCACACAAAAGCATTCCGGTGGCTTCTCCACCTCCATTCACAGCAGCACCATACCTCAGCTCTGGAACTATTGAGAGGCCATCTGCGTGAACCTGAACAAGTGACTAAAGCTCACTGAATGTCCTGACAAAGAAAACTGGAGTTTAAATTCACCGTATTTGGTTCTTCCACAGATGTAACACAACAGAATACCAAGTATGTCTGACTCAAGAAAAACTCAAATGTCAGTTTCACTTCAACTCTTCCATCACACTGGGAACCCCCTCTCTACAGTTGACGTCACCCTTTCCCAGTACTGAGCTCATAGCCTCTGGATACAATCACTGCAGTACTCCAACTTCAACATCTGCATTCCCTCAAAATATCAGGCTCTCCGTCACAGAACACTTCTAAACCAGACACATTTCCTGAATGTCAAAGTGCATGCCAGATAGACAGACAGACAGACAGACTGACTGACTGACTGACTGACTGACTGACTGACTGACTGACTGACTCATCTGTGTATACATATGGACATATATGGATGATTCAGAGTGGGGTGTGGTGGCTCATGCCTAATCCTAACATGCAAGTAGGGGTCAGAAGTAGTGGTGGTCTTGAGATTCTACATTCTAACATGCTCCCAGGCGATACCACTGACTCACAGAAACGCATTAGTATTTTCAAGCTCCAGTTTCCAGGATTACAACCCAGGTCAAGAAGAACCAAGCAAACATATGAAGACCTGAAACAAGTGTCTGGGATATTTAAAGAAGCTATTGAGAAGCCAGGGAAAGGCCCACTGATAATGAAGCCCATGTTCTTCCAAATGGGTTAGTGTGCCCTCAGCTCTGACCAATGTCCTGCTTCTGTCCATCCAAGAAAATATGTTTGTTGTTCTGCTTTAATGACATGTTCTCAGTGTCTTAAAGGTCATCTGGGGTTGCCTTGCTCTCACCTGTGTGGACCACATCTGCATTTGCTTCTTGAGCAAATACTAGCATCAGTTTAGGTTGTAGATTCTAGAGAAGCACTCCTTTTAGAATTCTTTCTATAGCTTATAATGATACACAAAGCAGACAAAATGTGGCTTCTGTTTGATATCTATTTCCTATGCTCTGACATCTGGAGGACACAAGACTAAAAGGGTTTATTTCCAAAAATATACAGGTGTCACCCTCCTAACACCAAAGGCTGCATCCAAATCCTTCACAATGAGATCAATGTTAAAGTTTTAAAACCATTTAATTTATGTTCATCATACTCAAAATGGTTAGAAAAAAATCTTTAGAAGACTGAAAGACTGAATTATCAGGCTTACATAAATATTCCCATCTGATAATTTAAAAGTTCAGCAAAAAAATAGTTAGTTTGTTTCTAAGTGTTTTAGGGCAGGACTGTTTTTCTGGATAAGAAAAACAAACAAGAAGAGTTTGAGATTGTACCATTTCTTGTGAAACATAATCTGGACTCTTTGTGTCAGCCGAATAAAAAGAGAAGTCATAGGTGAAGGTCTTGGTCCGTTCTCTGCCTGAGTCTCCAGTTCCTCCTTCCGGTATCTAGAAAAGACATTTTTGACAGTAATAATAAGAAAATTAGGTGATAATGACAATAACATAAAGAGTATTGTCAATTAACAAGTGACCCTAATCAGGAAACAAAATCTGTGACTAAAACACATAAAATGATTAACATTTGCAATGTGTATACTCTAATCAACACTTAATTCCTATTAGTCTCCCTAAAGAATGAATAAAAATTTAATATAAGAAGAATAGGATCTGTATTATAACCACCAACTATGGTCTTTACTTTACATGAGCACCATGTCCAGTCAGACTCTGTTTCTCTTACAAGACTCTTTGACTGTTTTCCCTATGATGTAACCCCCCCAACCAGAGCTGTACTGTACAACTTCTTGGGTGCTGGACACTGATTCTGGAAAAAGTGGTGCCCTGCGGAGCTGTGTGATTTGGTGCCCCTTAAAACTCCAAATCAGCTGTCTCCTCCTCCACGATACTTCCCTAGTGCCCCACCTAGAAATAATTTTCCTCCCTTTTCTGAGTGACAACACTCCTAAGTTATATCATATTGTGAGAATATTACAGATGTTTGCATACATCTTACATTCCATGCTCTGAGCTTAAACTGAACCCCCAAACCATCCATAATTTCCCAAAACCTACCTTGAATGTAATGCTAAATAGCTTCAATGAACAGTATACTTGTGGATAATCAACTTTTTTAAAACAAAATGTTGAAAAATTAACAAAGCAAACAACAGTATATTAAAATATGAGCATTTCCCATAGGTGCAACAGTGGCACAAATGTTACTGAAGTAACCAACAACTGATAGGATTTAAGGCTTACTCCACAGAAGGAAATGCATGACTGGTATGGTGTGTTCATAGGCCCTAGGGGTAAAACCTACTATTACTTTTGCTAAATGTACACTGTATCAAACTACCTTCTAAATTTATATCTTTATATTCACAGATTAGTTTAGCTCTCATACCTCTTCAGAGAAGTTTCTTTGTTCAGTGAATGATGGTTAACATGGAAATTCACAACAGGTCATGTGCAGAGAAAAGGTATCTATGGAGTGCTTGGCCATAAATGGCATATCTATACCACGTACCCTCCCCCAGAAGGTTCAGTGATCATATAGGAAAAGCACAGAAAGATTTCAAGAGCAAGAGGTGGAGGAGGACCAGAGTGAAACAACGTCTTCTACACAGGACAGGACCAAACCACTGCCCTCATGAACTCACAGCAGCTATGAACACCTACACAAAACCAAGCTTGTCAACATTCCAGCCAGGAGGAGGGGATCTTTAGGAGCTACCAACAATTGGTGGCTACTAGAGTAAGAAAAGTCTGCTTTCTTGAATGGTGTGGTTCCTAGTAGGTAGACCATGCTCCAGTAGTTCCACAGCCATGACTATACAAGCAGTACAAACTGAACTCAGTGGATTATACTTTAAAGTAAATAGATGATAGACAAACAGACAGATAGGAACGTGAAGTTGAGAAGATTGGGAATGAATCTGAGAGGTTTAGAAAAAGCAGGGGTAAATGGTGACTATGATTGAAATACACTGTATACATAAAATTTTTAAATTAGCAAAATATTATAGTAAAAATAAACTGGTAAAGGAAAAAATGACATCTATTCTAATTACTCAATCATCATAGAAGAAAATACGTATAAAAACAAAAAGCAACAGAGTAATCAAGGAAAATCTGTAATACACATGCAAGAGAGGATTCGGCCAAAGCACTATGAGCGCACACATGCATGAAGTAGTAGGAAGGTCACTACCAGCAGGAAGTGGACAGAACTGGAGCAGCCTGAGAAGATGCTTAGGGGAGGTCAGGGAGAGTCACAGTGTGCTGAAGATGGTGGTAAGTTCAGAAGGAAAGCAGTCTAGTAGAGAACTTCTCAAGCAGAGGGACACCAGTATCCCAGAGCATGCCCTCTGGGAAGACAGTACTATTCCCACCCCTGTTTCTGGAGATCACGCTGAACTACTCTGAAAATGATCTTAAAGTATCCTCCCTCCTCAGACACTTGGCCATGGAGCGACAGGTCTCAGAAACACAGCACCCACACTGAAGGCACTAAGCCCAAAAGCACATGACGTCTTTGGTGTTACTTTTATGCCCGTGCTTCCTCCTTGAGTGGAAAGCACTCAAGATCCTTATCCAGTGTGCTATTGAAATAGTATATTTTAAAAGCAAAAGGAAAAATTTACCATTGTGAAAGACTGTGGGGGTTTTTTCAACAATGTTTTCTAGAAAACAATGCAGTTTTATTGTTTCCTTTTTAAGTGCTCATTGCTCTCAGCTAACAATAAACAACAGTTGTCAGATCATCAAGGATCAGAATACATGATGGATTCTCATTAAAAACTCAAAATAAAGAATTGGGGATATAGTTCAGTTGTTAAGAGTGTCTGCCTAGCATTCATGTGGCCCCAGGCTTGATCTCTAGCATAGCATAACCCAGGTATGACAGTATATGAACATGATCCTAGCACTGAGGTGGGGGCAGGAGAACCTGAAATTCACGGTCATATTTGTCCATATTTGAGGGCAGCCTGGGCTACCTGAGATCCTGTCTCAAAACTCATCCAGTGCTTTCACAGGATACAGGCAACTATCAGGCTAGAATATACGGTAGAAACGCCAGGTTCTTATCTGCAGTCAGAACTCACAGACCAGGGAAACAGCTCCGAGTCTGACTCCCAGGTTAGATGAAACCAAGCGGGAAAACCACAAGAATCAGATCAATGCTTCAGTTTCAGGACTAAGCCTCAGCAGAGAGCGAGTACACTGCTAACTGCACGGAGTCGGGGCAGTCACCTCAGAGGTGCATAAGGCTTGGGGCTTCATTCATCTGTAGCAACCTCACAGAGCAAGTGTGGATCTCTCAGAACTACAGCAGGGTAGAGTCATCACTTGCCTTTAAGTTTGTGATTGTCGTTTTGCTTTTCTCCATTTGAATGATAAACTTGGCCTCCAGGTCCTTTTCCCTGCAACATAATAAAATAGTATGGGTAAGGAGACAAAAGATTATTTTGAAATAAACCTGTTTTATCTGCTTTTCACATAAGGTTCTTTGATTTTAAATGACATCTGAAAAGTAATCCCACTGCATAGCAGTGCTCCCAAATCCTTGCTGAGGCTATAAACATGAAGACGCATGACATAGATGCCACCATGAGAAACTATGACTAACAAAAATGTGCTGCCAAAATCTGGAAGAGTTTCTAATAGTAAGACAAGTAATATGTCAGGCACCATAGAAAGCAGCCCTATCAACCTAGATGAAAACCAAGTCAAAAGCTGGGATGGTCCAACTGTGAGGTGTTCCCAGGAATAGCCAGGGTTCTGCCCCTCCTCTTGTTAGGTCCATTGGGAATTACACTTCTTACGAAGCAGTAAACAGAGAAATTCTGAAGAGCGTAACTCTCTATTTGGTAGCAAGGGCCTGCAATCCCAGCACTTGGGAAGCTGAAGCAGAGAAGACCATGAATTCAGGGCGTCTGGGCTACATAGAGCTATCACATCTCAACAAGAAGAAAAGATTGTGTATCTACACAAAAGAATTCTAGCCAGTCAAAAAGGATTGACAAGCATCTCTATACACATGATGGTATAGTCACCAGATCATATGATTTAAGTCAAGGCAGAGAAAAGCATGCAGGCAGTCCTCACCTTTCATGGTCTGCCTTTAATATTTTATACTCTGGAGAGAAAGTAATACACATCCAGTACTAATCCTAACTTGAATTCTGAATTTTGACCATTTCCTAGGCTAGTAATACACAATCCAGGCCTCTCTAGTGATGCCACACAGCACAAGCAAGATTCAGATGCCAGCTGGCCATGAAATCACAGAGGAAGAGCACATACCCTATGGTATGCACTGTACATTGTACTGTGTTAACAAACCAGAAGGCTCTATAGGTTAAATGTACCCAGAGAACTATGATTTATTATATTCTTAACTTAAAATAGGTTTAGGGACAAACTCTCATCCCAAGTCCAAAGAGAACGCATATTATCTAAAATGTATGATATTGCTCATATGTAGAAAATAAAAGGGCAACCTCGGTCTTTTTCAAAAGGCTACATAGGGAGAAAGAAGAAAATGGAAGAGAATGGCAATGACAGGAGCTAGATTTCTCTGAATATTAATGTATGCAAATATAAATTTACTTAAAACAAGCTAAAATTTTCCCAGCACTTGGGAGGCAGAGGCAGGCAGATCTCTGTGAGTTCGAGGCCAGCCTGGTCTACAAGAGCTAGTTCCAGGATAGCCTCCAAAGCCATAGAGAAACCCTGTCTCGAAAAACCAAAAAAAAAAAAAAAAAAAACCAAGCTAAAATTCAAACAAAGTTGATAATAGTGAATCAAATTCTATCCATCCACACAGTGGAAGAATATTTCCATAAGGCATGGAGGATTTTGACTATGCAATGTGACAAATCAGTTCTCTTTGGTGGTCATTCTGAGATTTTTTTTTACTTGTGTGCTATGAGATAAGTCATGAATACTTGATGCTGATATCGCTGAGAACTACTGCCGGTAGACCTAGTAGATTAAAAAGAAACACCAGCACAAGGTGGATGAGGAGTGGATTCTTAATGGGAAATAATAAACTTTATCTAAATTTAAAGAGAGAAAGGGGGGTAAGGGAGGAACGGAGAGGCAGAGAGAGAGGAGGAAAAACCATAGTTTGCACATTGCTAATCTGAAAATCAAAAATGCTCCAAACTGGAAAGCTTCAAGAATGCTTACATGATGCCACAAGTGGCAATTTCACACTTGACCTCATGTGATAGGCCACAGTAAAAATACAGGCACATGAAAATGTTATACAAAGTACCTTTAAGTGACTCTCATGATTAGTCTCAGGTCCAACCCCCAAGATATTTCACTCTGCATATGCTAACATTCCAACATCTAAAACAATCAGAATTCTGAAATCCATCTAGTTTCCAAACATTTGAGATAAGGGATACCCAACTCCCTAGTTCTGTCTACTAAAACAATCTAGAATCACATGGTCAAAGAATAGCCTCTAAACACTAAAAGAATGGCTTCTTAAAGCAACTATTAAATTAACTATTTAATTCTTCTCACTCAAGAAAGCAAGGGCCATTACAGATCACTAGACTGTGGGAAGTCAAGTTCACAAACAACGGGGAATGCTCCCCCAGTGCTCATACCCTCTGGGTTCCCCTCCCCTTGTTGCAGGTTGAACCTGGGGCGAGTCACTTCCAATGACTAGAACACAAGACAGCCCAAGTATCATGCCTGGGGCTGATTGAAAAACACTGTAACTTCTATCTTGCTGCCTCTCTCCTTAGGCTTGTCCCTCCTTTTAAAGCCCTGGTGGTGGGGAAAGCCAGCTGTCACAGTATGAGAAGCGACCCACAAACCATAGGTCATGTCAAGAGCTTTAAACACCAACCAAAAAAAGATTAACACTGGCCAAACTTGAAACGTTTGAGTAAAAATAACTGCAACAAAACATAAATATATATTTAATCAATCATATAAACTCTAAATTAGAAAATAAAAACTAAGAAGTCCCCTTCAGAGGATGAAAGGCATTATATAGAAGTTATTAGCAGATAGCTGTTCAATGAAAGGAGAGAATCAAACACACATGCCCTATCTCCTCCATAATAGCTACTTCAGGGCAACTAAATGGAAGTTGCCCTTTTAGAGCCAAAGGAGTATGTGCAGCTACGCTTCCAGATGCACAGAGCCTCTCTGAGAGAATAAGCAGGAAGCTCTTTGCCTGGGACCTTTGCAGAGAGAATGAGCAGGGCCTTGGTGGAACAACAAAAAAAAAAATGAACTTAAACATTTCACTAGTGAAACTGCTTTAGCATGATTTGATATAACTTTTCTGATTAAAATCAATGTAGTTAATTAAAATCAATGTAGTTAATTACTGCTTCGAAACACTGTGTGCTTCCTCCTGCTTCCGGACAAGTCCATGACTGACTCAGCCTCCTCTCCTGGCACCCTGCCACACAGAGGACAATGGCTGGCCTTGCCATCCACATGTCCCTGTTCCCTGGCTCACCCTCTGTGTAGTCTAGATTGGCCTCTGTCCCTCTCCACCCTTGTGTACTTCCATGATGCAAAATGACACCCAAGAATCAAAGCTACCCCCAAAACACCCTTCTGACCTTGAGAAACATTCCTGATTTCTTAGGCAGCCCGTCAATGCCCTGCCTATCAGAGTTACACAAAGCCCTCCATGCTCTGTCCCAACTCATGCTGCCATTCCAATACTATATCCCTTCCCCTTGGCCAACCCCAGCCATGCCTCTAGATGTGCTCTCACAAATATATATACATACATACAGCCAGTTTTCTGCAGCCTTTGCCTTGTCCTCTCCTAAGCTGCCTTCTACCTGTCTTGTCTAGTACACAGTGAGCTCCTTAATAATAAGGCCCACTGTCTGAGTTCACATGCTCCTTCAGATGCCATCAGAAACAGTTGTTCTATTTGCTGAGTTAACTGTTTGAATTACTGTATGAACATCTCTCACCCAGCCTATTCAATAACACCCATCTTCTACCTACTCTGTCCTCCACCACCTTACTCAATGATCCACCCTCTGCACACTCTGATCTCCCACCATCCCTACTCAATGATGCCAGCCTCTGCCTTCTCTGGTTCCCCTCACCCCACACTGCTCTTGGGCCTTGTCTTTCCTCAGGACTGATACCTTCACACTTCTCACACGAAGCTCGTCTGCTGTCTAGTTTAACCAGTTCTTCCTACTCAACTTCCAGAAACAACCATCCTATACCTATTTGGCTCACCCCACTCCCACAGGCCTTATATCTGCTGAAGTGATCTACCAGGCTAGCCCAGAGAAACAAGGACCCAGCTTCCTGCACAGCCACACCAGGTACACCAGGCACAAAAGCACAATTTACAATCCGAACCAAGTTTGCCCTCTTGCTTCTTCTCCAGCACTGTCAAAGACCAGGCACAAGAGTCCTCCAGCCTCAGGTCAATTTCCCCTGACATTTAAGAAACATGAGAAATAAATCTTGACATTTTTCTTATATTGAGGAAAATAAATAATCCTAAAATATCATTTGAACATTGATTTGATAATAGAGCAAAATGAACTATGTCTCTCCCCGGCCACTCTGGTGAATTAGGTTTCTCAACTGAAAAGTCAATTACAGCCCCTTCATATAAATAAGTAATTTATCTGAAAGGTCTGGAAACTAGATCATATGATGTTACAAATGAGCCAGCTGGAGCAAGTATGCTGAGTTATAGATCAATACTGGAGGGGTGAGGCCAGAAAAAAACAAGCTTTCGAAAGATCCAGCCATGGAAACAGGTAAAGATGCCAGCTCTCAGGTGATTAGGAAAATGCTAATTAGTAAAGAAAAAGATAGCAATGGCAATCCAGATTTTTTTTAATGTTTTTAAATTATCCAGGAATTCAAACTGACTGCCATTCTGCTAAGGGTATATGATCACTTCATACACAGCCAGACAGAAGGATGCTGGACCCTTCAAACTGAACCACTCCCTTGGGCTATTCTTACTAGTTTATTCTGAAGCAAAATGAAACCCTTCTGTTTCACCTGGCCAAGTCTCACACTGTAAACAAATATTTCACTGCTTTCATTTTAGTTGCAGGATATTCAACAGAACAATTAAAATGTATTTTTAAAAGAATACAAAAACCCCATATACAATATAATGGAAAGAAGCCCAAGGGACACTGTAAGTGATAGAAGAACAGCTTGTCAGTGGCCACCATGCCTGCACTTCAACAGAGCCAAAGGAGTATGTATAGCTATGCTTCCAGATGCACAGAGCCTCTCTGAAAGAATAAGCAGGAAGCTCTTTGCCTGGGACCTTTGCAGAGAGAATGAGCAGGGCCTTGGTGAAACAACAAAAAAAATGAACTTAAACATTTCACTGGTGAAACTGCTTTAGCATGGTTTGATAAAACTTTTCTGATTAAAATCAATG